GCTTTAGACTGGGATTCAGAGGAAGTAGATTGTTAGTTCCACGACGTCCGATTTGTGCTCGGGCCGTTGCGCTGGAGTGAAAATCCCCACCAGGGAATGAAGCAGAGAACTACGAGTGTTGCGAACATGTTTGAAGCAGCGAGGTGGTCAGCAAGCACGACACCAAACACTGTCTTACCCGTCCATAGTTCCATCCATGCCTCCATCGATGCATTCATTTGTCCGTCCATGCATTCATCCATCCATCCATCTATCCATCCATCCATCCATCCATCCATCCATCCATCCATCCATCCATCCATCCATCCATCCATCCATCCATCCATCCACGCAACCTTCTATACACCCTTCCAGAAGCTGTGCCATGAGCTTTTCTTCTACCAACCCTGCTGCAAACCCTCTCCCTTCCATAATCCCTGCAAGAAAAGGTCCTACAAACCCTCAGCTTCTTATAAATCCGTCTGTAAAACGCTTCTAGAAGCGCCTCTGTGTGTAATCCTCCATACATCGCAAAACCTTTGTAAACCTTCACGAAAAAGCTTCCCTCACCAACATGTTTTCCCAAAGCACTGGTGAGATTCCGGCGTGGCAAAATGCTTCCCATCATGTACGCGGGAGTGGGAAACATCAGCAACATGCCTTCCCCAAGTATTGACGGGATTCGAACATTTCAAATCCAGTAACAACGTAGGACCACATGTGCAGCGCCCGGGAGCAAGACGCGATTCAGGAGAACGGTCAAAATACTTCCTGCATGTTCGGGCGGGGTTCAGAGATGCGACCAAAAACGTTTCCCCCTACTTGCTGTTGTTAATGTGGTTCCCTGGTTCTTTGGTTGGCATGCCTGGGCAGATCTTTGGACTTCGTCTGCCTGAGAGGACGAAGAAAATAAACAATGTGTTGTTTTGGGTTACATGGAACAAAACCAAGAAGCAAATTCGTTCCGGGAGAGGACGTACGAGAAAACTACAAAACAACCATGATGGAATAAAGCCTAAGAGACAAAGTTGTTTCCCACAGGCATTTCATGTAAAAGATCTGTTTGTTCTGGTTTGGATTTCTCTCTCGGGACAGAGAAGAAGGATAACTCAGGGCACCCTCTTAGCTGTAAAAGGAGTAGGTATGTGGGATGCTTGTAGACGGTATGCATCGGGAGCACCGCAAATATCGGTCAACTTGGGTAACCATTTGTATTTGTATGCTGTGCACCTACGTGTGCGGCACCAGAATCGGATGTCAAATTTCATAGCAGCCTCTCTTCGCACGTCAAGAGGTTTTGTGTCATGTTGAACCCCAATACATCTTCTGATGGAGAGGCAAGACCGTCAGCTAGTTTTGTACCAAGCTCAATGAATGTTGCTGAGATCTAAGGTGAGATCTTGCTTATGCTGCGTGAGAACTGATTGGTTAGTCATCGATGTTGAGTTTAAGTGCGCTGTGCATATTGTGGTTCAACACGTATAGCACGTACTTACGACATACTGAATGTTTGCTGCAGCACACTGGCAGCGCGATTTCGTGTGACCAACATGCTTTGGGCGGAATTCAGATGGGATTCAAGAGCACGACGGCGGGCCTGAGCAGACCAGATCTCCCCCCAAGTACGGGCGGGATTCCTGCACGACACTTCCTTCGAGAGTGGGTCGTCGACGGTAATGTGTAAGGACGCGGCGTGGGCTGTCATTTCGAGACTGAGTTAATTTACGATGAATCCTGGGAGAACGTGGGCTCGCCGAGAGGGTTGTTATTTTGAGACCACTGTGAGGGCGATGTTGTGGAAATGGGCTGAGCCTTTGTTTCATACAGCATTCTGTCCATAGTCCCTTGATTTTCGTGCTGCCCGCTTCGCCTCCCCTGCCACATCGGTATGTTGCTTATGATATGGTTTCGGGCTCTGTGCCAATGAATGGTTTTTCTTTCTGTGCTCCCGGGTTCCCGTCGCAACTCGTACCTGGCTTTTCCTGATGTGCACCTGTCTCTTGCTTACGTGCGCCTGGCTCGTCCATGCCTTTCCTTATGCAGACCTGGCTTTTCCTTTGTTCGCCAAGCTCCCAACCCCCCACTTCATCTCATTTAACCCGCCCTGCGGCCGCCCCCCGTCATGTCCGAGCCAAGGCATGTTTTGAATTTAGGTTGTTTTATTGAATGCATTGCCGCTCCGCTTCATAGATCGAAAAAGGCACGACATATTTTGCGTGGTAATCCTTGTACTCGCATACTCAGGCTTACTCGCTCTACTGCTCCTCCTATTGTCTTACGACAGCTTCGCTGGTCAGCCTGGCTGCCGCGACGAGTTTTTTGCAGCTCTAATGTTCTCAGACTGCTCGACCCGTTTCGATTGCTTCGATCCGTCAGGTCAAAAGTTAGACTTATGGCGGCCCCCGACCCTCCTTAACCCACGTTTGCGGGCCTTTCGCTCGCCCCAGGCCACTACAGTCATGTAAAATGTATCAAGTCCATGTTTGGCGGGCGCACGTGTGGCGTTCACGGATTTTCCACAGATTCTGTCTTGAGGGTGAGAGTCTGTCTGTGGAGCCATGGCAAAAGCAGAACAGCTTTTGTATGTAGTAGGTTTATGGCTTTTTCGGCGTGGGTTGCTTCTAGAACCTGGCAGGGTTTCCAAGGACTCGCCGATCGCATAAGGGCAGAAACCCGCAAGAAAAAAAAATGCCATGCCCGCAGTTTACATCGCGCGTACCGAAGGATAGGAACGCGAGGATAGGAACACGACGGGTGACCGAACACGAATCGTCACGGCATCAAGCGCGCAGACTCCTCCTCCTCTGCTGCTGTTGGCTACTACTATCTACTGCTTCAATTCCTGCTGTTTTGCGACTTGTCGCATCAATGTCCTCTTGTGTAATGCCTTCATGTTTCACTTGGATGTCTGCATCGGAAAGCGTCCGCAGCCACAGGGCTCAGTATCAAAGACCGTGCCCGTCTGCGCCTTTTAGGCCAGGATGACCTCGCGCCAAGAATGCACTTTGAAGGCCATTGTTGCAAGTTTTCCACCGCCCAATGAAGGCTTCGAAGGCCCAAGCTCCATGCCGGATCCAGTACTTGTACATCAGGCTGCGAGTTGGGGGAGCTTGGGCCACCCCGTGCTTTGCCACCGCCCTTGTGTGTACTTACTCAAAGGGAGCGCGTGTCGGCAAGGTGTTTCGTGTCAGTTCTGCCACCACAGCCAGCACTCTCCCATTCCGAAGTTGGACCAGGAACAGAGGGCTCGAGTGCAAGGTCTGAGCGAAGGGGACTTGGTTTCCCTTTTGATCCCACACATCCGGGAGCAGGCGGAAGCGGCTGGGCTACTTGAGCAGGTCGGGGACTTCATCTGCATGCTCGACAAGAAGTTTTCTGCAGACAGGGAGCACAAGAACGACAACATCCGAATGAAGATACCTCGCAAAGAGTTGTACCGGCTAAAGAAGACGCCTTGTCATCATTTGGAAGTTTTTTGTTTGGGTTGCTTTGCAGCGTTAGCTTTCCCATTGATTGTATCGGGTACGACGAAGTGAGGACCTTGCGTGGTATGAATCTGACGGCATTGATCAAGCTCTTGCCGGGAGAGGGGTCGTCCAAAAGCTTCCAGGAACTTCGGCTCTCAGCTGCAGGGCTCGGGCCTGAGTTGTGAGCTCGAAAATTCTTTAGCCGACGCTTGTCACGACCTCGGAGACTTATGCCGGCAATGCTTCGCACGATCAGGTCAGTGAAGTTCGAGCTCTGAAGGAAGTTTTGTGAATGCTTTCTTCGGCCCCTTCGGGTCGATCTTCAGAAAATCCTGAAAACAAGGATCTTCGGGGCGTTGCGAGGTATTCGGAATGTTGAAATCGTCAAGTTGCCATTTGTGGGTTCTACCCGAATGCCTTCGTTCCCGAGCAACTCATGCCAGTAAGCAGCAGCAGAGTCAAGGCACACGTTCCCCTGAACTGCTTGGGCTGGATGCTTCACTGCATGCGCAGTCTTTTCGGAGGTTGGCCGTACTAGCAGTGCAAAGCTCTGCCCCAGACGATTCTGTATGCGGGTTGAAGATGGCTGAAGCATCCAGAACGGAAAGCAGTCAGGATTTTGAGTGATCTGGCAGTGCTGTTTATGGTTTCAGAGAGTTGATTTTCGGCTGCCGGACTACTCCGTCCAGGCCCATGTGTTTTTGGACCAGATACACCGTTTTTGTCTGAAGACTTGTACACCTGACCAGCCTGGTCGATGCCCATAAGTTTGCTAGCTCTGTCGCTTACATCGTTCAAGACGAGGCAGGCGACTTGCTTGCGCTGATGCGGTGCGTCCTTCTTCCTGGGGGTCTGTGGGGCGGCTCCCTGCGCCCGTTGTTCTTAGATTCTGTGTCAGTCCCACTTTGAAGATCAGATGTGAAGGTTTGGTGTACAGACCTTTGACACTTGGAGCGCTGAAAGCAAGCTACGAAAAGACATGGCATACTCCAGTCTGTGGCAGCTGGCAGTGAGCCGCCTCGCCAGCACCACCACCACCACCACCACGACTACTACTACTACTACTACTACTACTACTACTACCACTACTACCCACCACTACTACTACTACTACTACTACTACTACCACTACTACGACTACTACTACTACTACTACTACCACCTTCTACTACTGCTACTACTGTTCCTGGCTGTGCTCTTGCCTCTTGCGGCAACGGTATTTCTTCTAGAATCGGTCCAGGTCTTCACGGAAACATGGATGTAGGGCGCATGATGGTGCTCAGCTTGTTGCTGAGCTTCACTCTTAGCTGGTCCAAAGCACAGCCGACTCTCGAACATGTTTGCGTGGTCCGCTGCCATGCAGGAGGGGCAGGGGCGCAGGTCGTAGGAAAGGGTTTTGGTCGTCGTCGTCGTCATGATAGTAGATTTGCAGTAGTCGCATTGCTGCTCGGCGTTTCTATTCAGGGTTCTGCAAGTAAAAACCACTTCTGGCAAAGTTACTTGTGAAGAACCAAAGGAAGGAGGGTCGGGCTGCATGATCCGCTGCAGCATTTTTCTCGAAAATGCTCCTTCAAACCGTATTACTCCATAAGCTGCTTGGCACAGTTTGTTTCCGGACTTTCAGACGCATGACGCTTCCCGACCCCAATGACGGACGAATCCCTTTGTAGGGAGGAGCTACAGCAAGCAGCTACAGCCCATTGGGCTTTAACGCTTCAGTTTGCTCGATTCGGATTGCAATATTGAGCAACGATGTATGAAGCGTCAAGCCTGAATTGCAACCCCTTGTTTGGTCGTTTTCCCTTTTTGGGCTCACGGCTACACCCCGGTTTTCAGGGTGACTGCGCGAAAGTTTTGCCTGCATTTTCCACGAAGAAACCCTAAACCGCGGTTGTGGTGGTTGGCGCCCCTGAATAGTCCGAGTTACGTGAGTGGTCAAACTGGTTTCACGCCGACTCGCACCCTGTTGTCCGAGTTGCGCGAGGGTAAACCGCAAGTGTAAGTATTGAACTTTGGCCCGCGAGCCTGAGCGACAAACCCCAATCCTTAGGCCCAAAATGTCGAAACCCGATGTCCGCGTTCTGAGAGGTAATGAAGCCTGTAATCCGGAATCCTACATATTTCGGCCAACCCAGGAGCTCTGCATGAGAGGTTATCATGCGGTGTAGGAGAGTTTGTGGTAGGCGGTCGAGGCCTCAGGGCTTTGTGATTGATGTGGTATTCAGGACCTCATCCAGTCTTTCTTCATTGACAGAGACTAGGAGATGGTATGTACCATAGGGCAAGTTCACACATTCCTTGGACATCGCCCCAACATGTGTTATGAGCCCCCGCAAGTCAAATCTGGCAGGCTTAAGTCTGAAAACCATGGCTTCGGAAGCCTTACTGAAAGTGCGACACTGCCCAAGTTCGAGGACCGACATCATGTCCAAAAGCTCGCAGCGATCACGTAAAACGCTGATAAGCGATGCCTGCAATTGTTCACTATCTAAACCCTCCCCTCTGCTTGGAGCATCCTTGGTGACATGATATGGAATGGTGGCAACCTTAGGAGGGATGAGACAGCCATGGTCACGACGGTTACAACAGCAGTACTCGCAATTACTCCTATTTTTGTTTCTGCCATAGACTTACTTAACCTATCGCAACGACTCTTCCCGCTGGAGCTCTTGAGGCGAGATTGCGGCTCAGCCGGCGGTGATGGCCGCCCGGCGAGGAAAAGCCCCTGCACTTGCAAACGCTGGAGAATGGAGCCCAATAACTCGATCCTTCTCTTGCCGGTGGGGCAAAGGAGAGGTGAGCAGTTAATTTAAGTTACTTTGTTTGTGAAGGCTATAGTTGCCACCAGGCACCTTTTCCAATGGCGCTGGCCGCATCATGACTCCTATTTTCTTTGGCATGTCGATGTTTATGCGATGGTCAATATTAGTCAAGAAGGAGCCCATCGGCAATAGGAGTTTTCCCGTTGTCTTTGCGCAAGACGGCGACGAGGACTAGGAAAATAATACTTAAGCCGATGGCTCAATCGCAGATGGATGCTTGCAACACTGAAAAATCACAGTGAGATGTTGACTGTCATGTCATGTCCAGCAACGTCTTTGTAACATTTGCTAGTTGCTGTTGACCTTTTTGGATTCTGGCGGTGGCGCGGTCGTACTGTGATCCGAAGAAGCCGAGCGACGCCGAGCGCAGCCCAGGGCCGCCGAGCGCAGACAAGCTGGGCGTCGCTGAGCGCTCAGCACGGCGCTCGGCACTTGACTTCGCTTGGCCCGGATGTCGGACGTCGCGTCCTTGTGCTCGACGTCGCTTGGTGCTCGGCGGTGCTCGGCGGTACTCGGCGGCGGCGTCGCTCGGTGGGAAAGATTTCCCGACGAGCCTCCTGACGCATTCCACTTTGCTTGGATGATGGAGTTGACGTTGAGCACAAGTGTTGATAGACCGCACTGATTTTGATGATGGTAGGGCCATGGCTCACGCGGTGCATGGAAATATACCATTGGCTTCGACGGCGACGGTGGTGCTGTTGCGCAGATGGCGCTGGTTGCGGATGTGGTGATGGTGACGGTGATGACGAGTTTGAGGATTGAGGAGTACGGCAGCGGTCGCGATACGGACGATTTATTGTGCTAGGGTGATTTCTTGCGAAATGATCCGCAAGTTCCGGCTTGTTGTGACTTCCCTTTGAATGTTTATCCCTGTCGCTACTGTTGTTTGTTGCTCGTTCTAATATGGTCATCATCATCCTGATCTTCATCATCGCCCTATGCACCAGCACGGCCATTATGCTCATCATCACGGGTTGCGGCGGTTGTATAAGCCGTCACCCTCGTCGTGGTAGCCCAAGACCCCTTTGCGGTGGTGCTGGTTATTTTGTAGTAGGAGGTGGAAAGGCCATTTTCGTTACAAGTCCACTATTCTGGAACCGGATTTTTGTTGGAAGCGTCGGCCTCATTGTCTTCAAATCAGGTGGCACGTGCCAGGGCTTTTCGGTTGGGACGTGCCTTGAAAGGCCGTGAAGCTTTGAACCTCGAGTTTTTGGGGGGGTTTAGGCGCCTCATCCGGGACTTCCTTCAACTTGTTCCTGTTTGGGGCTCTGAATTTTCATCATGAAGGGGTCAGGGGGTGGGTGGGGCGGGGGGGGTGGGTTGCTTAATCCTAAGGTAATCCTACACTAACAAGTTGAAGCATGATTTTGACCCTCT